ACAGTCCTCCTCTTATGCGCTTTCTCAAAAACTGAATTTATAGCAGTAAGTTCTTCTCCAAAAGAAACATCGATCGACTAGTTCTTGTGATGTGTCTTATGCCTTAAAGAGATAACAGTGCTATTTAAATGGCAGCACGACCGGAGCACTGGAAGCAGCCCACACGCAGGCGACAGGAAAGAGTGTATCCCTGTCGGAGCAGCAGCTGGTTGACTGTGCCAACGCTTTCAATAACTTTGGGTGCAACGGAGGATTGCCCTCTCAAGCTTTCGAGTACATCAAGTACAACGGTGGTCTGGACACCGAGGAATCATACCCTTATCGAGGAGTTAATGGCGTATGTCAATACAAACCAGAGAAAGTTGGGGTGAAGGTTTTAGACTCCGTCAATATTACACTGGTAAATTGATGCCATTATTCTCCTGGCAGACGGTAGCGCTACCCCACGTAACATTTATCTGATGTATGGTTCTATTGGTTGCCTTTTGAGAAGGGTGCTGAGGATGAACTGAAGCACGCGGTGGGAGTCGTTCGTCCAGTCAGTGTTGCTTTCGAGGTGGTGAACGGTTTCAGGCTGTACAAGGGAGGAGTCTACACCAGTGACACTTGTGGCAAGACTCCCATGGTAAGCTCAAGAGCAACTCTGTTTCTTGATTCACGAGAAGCCCAAATGGTTGCATGTAACTCGAGTTTTGCCTGTAGGATGTAAACCATGCTGTTCTAGCTGTGGGTTATGGAGTGGAGAATGGCGTTCCGTATTGGCTGATTAAGAACTCATGGGGCGAAGACTGGGGTGTGGATGGTTACTTCAAGATGGAAATGGGGAAGAACATGTGTGGTACGTGCCCTTTTTCTAGCAAAAATCCAAAGAAAGAAAGCTTTGATTCTTGTTAGGATTTGCTGATGCCTTTGACCTTTAGATGGCTATAAAAAAATTGACTCATGAAATGATGTTGCTGCAGGTGTGTCAACTTGTGCTTCCTACCCTATCGTTGCTGCGTAGTGACATCCGTGCCAGAGGTGGCCTCTCCAGTGTAGACCATGTATAAGGAGGCCATCCATCTCCAGTATATTAGACTGCTTCTAGTGTATAACATATTGGACTGGGCTCGGGCAATGTTTGGTGTCAATAGGATTTCGACTCTTAGGAGAATGGATGACAAGGAGGCCATCCATCACATCCATCTCCAGTATATTATGCATGTATACACAGATTATGCATGATAAGGAGGCCATCCATCTCATCCATCTCATCTCCGGTATGTTATGTATGACTCAAATTTTACAGTGTTATAAACATCATTAGCATTTGTACAACCAGTCCATCATTATCTTTGGTTAATTATGTGCAGACAAGCCAATTGAATCTCCTTAGAGCTCATGATGGTCTTTGTCATGTGAGCTTAAGATTGTTAAACATAAATTTAGGAGGTAGCTTTTTTATTTCAGCTGCAGTGATTTCATAATTTATCATTCGGCCAGTCAAATAGGAAAGAGAATGAATCCACATATAAAAAAAGATAAACCATATGAAAAACGAAGGAGGATAATTTGGATGGATGCTTTTTTTCATAAGCTAATTACATATTATTTTTTACGTTTAGACCCCATTAACATCATAATTTATATATATAAAAAATTTATATTAAAATTTTTATAATTTTAAAAATAAAATAAATAATCTCATTTATCATAATATCATCAATTGCATTGACAAAAAATAGAACACATGATATTGTTGAATCGACATAAATATAATGAGTAAAAAAATAATTTCAACATACTTAGAATGTTAAAATTATTTTTTTATTCATCACTTTCGTATCCATCCAACACATGATGTCATGTGCTATATTTTCCATTAATACATTTGACAGTATTAGGTCAAACGAGATTATTTATTTTATTTTCAGAATTATAATTTTCTTAATATAAATTTTTTAAATACAAAAATCACGATACTAATAAGATTCTAAGCATAAAAGATAATACGTAATTATGAAACAATATCACCCCTAAAACTAAAGAAGCAGATGTAGTTCTTTTTCCTCTCAGGAAAATCAAATGGATCAACATACATCAAATGCCACATCTTTCTCAGGAAACTTGACAAGCCTTGTAAAATTGGTGACTTCCATGAAACAAAACTTTAAATAAAGGAATATAGCTCCAGAGATACTACTAACATGTAAAAAGAAATGCACTGTACACCAGGCAAATTTTAAACAAAAATGGATGATAAATAATAGTTGAGAGATCACCTGCTTGTTACTGCTGAATTGATGAGGTTGATCACAGAAAAGAAACATAATTCATTATATTAGAGAGAGAGACACAAGTACAAAAGGCAAACGAAAATAACAAGATACAACAACATTGAGATTTTAAAAGGTTTTCCAGTATCTCAAATATATGAAAAATTATCAGCTGTCATCATGATAAATACCAAGAAATACTTCCATTTCGCTTGACAAATTCTTGAGGCAGATCAAATCATCCACTTAAAGCAAATGCGAAAATGGAGGCACTTGTAAATTGACTGATTAGGTACTACGAGCACATACCAATTTCTCCCCTTTATTTACAGACTCTGCTTAGCTATTGAATGCACTAGAGAAAGAAATCCGAAAAGTTTGAATAAACCAACTTCTCATCTTGAATGTCCAAATAACTGAGTCAAAAAGTAGCTCTCTACGAATGTCTGCTACCAAAGACTGTAGTCTCAAACAAGCCAAGAGAGCAAAAATCTCCATGTGGAATCCTCATATGTTGATTCATTGTGTGTGTCCGAGCCAGATTCCAAGCTAAAATTGCAGTGTGCTCAGATGAAGCAACTATGCAGTACCAGAAGTCCCATCAGATTTAGATTCAGTCCGTCTATAGGTGAGACTCCTTGCTGTTGGAGAAAGGATATTGTTTCCAGATGTTAGTGAAGATTTTGCCACCTCGCCAGGTTGAATAGCTGAAGAGTCACGCTTCCACTGTAAACTCCTGGCACCAGTTTTGATTGGAAGGCGCAATGGAAAGGCACCAGCAACCCTTGGATATGGTATCCTACCAAGTCTAGAAGCAAATGAAGATGCTCGGGAAACCCGTGGCCAACATATCATTGGAGCAGCTTCATGAGAGCTTCTGCGAACAACCTACGATGCACAAAGAGCAAGTGATACGTCATTTCTGCACTCACACTAAGCTATATAGATAAAAAAAAACACAGGTTACAATTCGATCCCTTCTATCATTCAAGTTGCTATCAAGTAACAGAGAACGTGGATTGGTTCCACCATAAGAACCTTCAGCAATAAAAGCTCAGGAGGATGTGCAATATTGACAACAAATTGAACAGGCAGACATCGGCTTTGTCCTTTGATTTTATTTAAAAGGGCCTAAGTTTCTGAAGATGATTGATCGGAGCAAAAAAACCATGTAATTTGTCATCTGGAAGGACAGCCGGTATGGAGAAGATAAGACACAGTCCCTTGGAGCAAAGATAATGGCAATCCCATCACTAATTATTTCTCTGGATGAAGAGAAATTGTTGTTTGCATTTATATGACTATAGGCCATGTGCAGAAAACCATCATGCACGCAGAAGAGGGCTTCTAGATCATGTTTCAAAAGAAAACAGATCCACAGCCAAGATAAAAGAGTATTAAGCTTGGACCTCGATCATGGATAAGTTCAAGCATGACATAAAATAACAAAAATGAACACATGGCTGGTCAAACAATGTCATGAAATTGTCTCAATTACTTTAATGCTAGTAATTTATAATTTGAAGAATTCATCTTGCTGTACACAAATGGAATTTGTACAACAATATCATGAAAAAGATGAAATAGAGATGCTAATCATTTCCAGACCTACCTTTAGGATCCGGGACATGAATGATGTGCCATTCAGTGACAATGCCAGATCTGCAGATTCTTTCTTTAGGAACTCAACATAAGCTGACCTGTTCCGGACAGAAAATTCAATTTAAACATACCATGACAAAGAATTACTGAAGAACAACATAATTACTCTTGTATCATTTACCCTGTAGGCTGACCGGTTGCAGCATCATTGATGATAATTACTTTAAGCACATCCCCAAATTTATTGAAATGGCGAGAAAGTGTGTCTTTAGTAGCAGCAAAGTGGACCTGCAAATCCAATAACAAGATTGATAAAATCCCACTCCTTTTTTCAAGTCAATTGTAATAAAATTAACAAAACAGATACTTGCATTGCCAACGAATAGAGTTCGAGAATCACCATCCTCCAAAGGGCGGCCAGTAGTATAAGAACCTGCAATAAAAAGATTTAGGAGCCTCAGCTGAATCTAGTAAAAGAGAAAAGAAATGGGGCAGAAAATCAACTAGTATAAGAATAATATTAGTGACAATCTTGGATTAAGCAACAGCATTCTAGATCCAGCTATGCATATATAATTATGAAACATAAACAGCTACGCGGAAAGAGAACATAGAAATAAAAGCAAATTGGTTTTGCCAGATTGAACTGTAAGAGTTTCGGCGAGTGGATTTAGTTGAAATAAAAGCAGGCATTCGAAATCAAATATGGGTTCAGCTTTTGCAGCTAGAACTTTCAGGTTACAGACTTTGATCATACCATATTATACCATGTCATGTACCAACCCTATATTCTACATGCTCCACAATTTCTTTTTCCAAAACCATAAGATAAATTTTTTTAGGCTTTCTGGGAGTATGAAATGGAAAAACTACTAAAGTGACAAGTGACCTTTATCTAGCATTGTTTTACATTGCTTGGGAGTATGCTTCATACCTTGTGCTGATGCAGGCTTCGGAGACTCCTGTTGGACATCTGCAAGTTCCATTGCCTGTAAAATATAATTGTGTGACCAATCCACACTCATCAGATATATTACACTAGCTGATGACAAAGATAGGCACATTTATAAAAGAAAGAACATCAAAACAAGAATATAAACTTTGCTGTGTCATTATAAGATAAATTACAGAGTAAAACAAAGAAATTGAAGAGATTTTGTGGAAGTATTTGACAAATTCTAGTTCAGAGTAACCTAATTTAAAAATTAAAGCTGGTTCATAAAGCATGTCATAGATAAAGCAGGCAAGAGGAATTTCCAAGACCTAAAAGATTAGTTTACATGAATAAAAACCTAACGTGCTCCTTCAAACATAATGCAACCATTTGAAATCCGCCTGTATTAGACAGACAGAACAATGTTCACCTCAAACATGCAAACAAACAAACAGGTCAATTTACCTTGCATCTAAAGATCGTACTCAATGAGAAAGTTTACCTTATCAAAGAAATACTACAATACTGGAGGATGTCCCAAACTGAAAGCTCAACTAAAACATATATACTACAGAAATATCACTCTCATGAATCAAAAAATTCACATGACACCATACTGTACCATAAAAATTCCTTTAAACAGGAAACAAGATACCGACGACAATTTTGTGTGTAAATAGATGTACATAAACATAAGCATACACATAAGTCAAAACATGTTTGCCTGACACTATCTATCTATGGACCGTGGCCTACAATAGTCCCATCCTCAAGAGGCTTTCCATACTTAAAACTAGATTAACAATGCTGTTCGCAAAAGCTTAATTAGCACAATTGAAATCAATTCTCAGTGAAATGGTTAAAAATATTAGAAACTGAACATGTTCATTATCACATATGATTTGAAAATAGTATGGAAATTTTATCTTTAGAAAGAACAAAAATTAAAATTGCCCATAAAAAACATAGTGTTCAGTTCTTAGTGTTCCAAAAATTAGTTAAGTGAGAGTATATTTATTACCTTAATGAATAATAGGAATGTTTTATCAACTTGGAGCATCTGGTCACAAAGACATTGATATCATAGTTGATACAAATAGCTACTATCATAGTCCACAGAAAAGATTTTGATTTCTGGATCCAAAAAGTTTTGAATTCTTGATCGACCACTCTTAAAGACCCTTCTAGCTTCTCCAACTTTCAAAAGCATTCGAAAGAAAGGCCAACTTCTCAGATTCATTCACAACTATCTCAACCAAACATGCCTCTCAAACCCCTCTTTTTCATGTTAGGTATATAAAGTAACTTTTCTGCTTCCTTGATTATTTTTCATTCTGGTATTCATGTCTAAGTATAATCAGATTTTCTGGTCTACATTTAGGCATCAGCTACTTGCACGTAAGACAGAAGGAAACCAATTTTAAGAAAACTACTGATTCAAATTCAGATCAACCAGTTCCAGTTAAACTGACAACCCATGACATGAATGGTTGATAAAAATATCTTCAGACATGTAACTCAGTTTAAAATTAAGCCCAAAAGATAGCAGCAGAAAGTTTATGGAGAAGAATGGATTGTGTAACAAATCCTTTTAGCATCCAGGTTGGAGATTACACCAGAAGGGCTAACAAAATTTCACACGAGATCATCACGATTCTGGTTGAATGAACAGGTAGAATATGAAGCTAAAATGCAAGTAGACCTGTTTCTAATTTCACAAATATTATGGCCATAAAATAGAACAATACAAATCACAAAAGGAGAGTTCTAAAAGCAAGAGAATGTTAACTGGCATTTCGACCCAAGAAGAGAATGAACATAATTTATGTCATGTGTTTTATAATCATCAGTATTGAATAAGAAATTTATGCCAGTAAAAACCTTACTTTTACATTCTGCGCTGAAGAAACATCATTCTCCTTTGGAAGCCTAACATTCTGGTTTCCGACACCATTTTTGCTCTTTCCCACAGCCACTCTATTCTCCACTTCTGTAGCATCCCTAGACACTTGATAATGGGGAGATTTCCAAGTATTTACATTAACAGAAATATTCACAGTCTTATTAGATGTCATTGCTGCTGAACTAGCAAATGGTTCCTGATCCAACAACCTTCTTTGCCTTAATATTTCATCAGGTTCCTGTGCAATGCTATACTCTACAATAACTGATTTATTTTCTCTTTTAGCAGAGGAAGCACTTTGAGAAGCACCCAAATCATGCAGGCTCACATTTTTGACAATGTTGTGTTTATCATTATTTGAAGCATAGTCAGGAGCAGCTGTTTCAGTCTCCTGGTCTAATATGGTCAGGTTACCATCAAACTCCTCATCATACTCACTCCTGGAAGGATGATCTGAATGATCGAGTTCAGGAACTCGATTATTATCTTCAGAATCCCTGTATTCAACCTCTTGTGCTGTTGTGTCTGATAACTCATTAACAGGCTCTGTCATAATTCTGTCATGACCCAATCTATCAAAAACACTACTAGAACATCTAGCCTTGTTTACATCTTCAACAGCTTCAGCAACAGCTTTGAGTGCCATTGATAAGGCACCTGGCACTCTTGACCCTGATGTTATTCTTTGGGATCTTTTTTCTAGCAAAGAATCTGTTGTGGATGTTGATACTACAGAACGAAGCCTCTTTAAAGCTGGCTCATTTCTTGAGTCTAACTGTTGCACGGTCCTTACAGCATCTCGAACGGCAAATTGAAGAAGCCGGCGTGGAGCATCAATTACTGAATGGGAAGCTGAGTCTCGCTGTAAAGGATAGTGAAATATATTTAAAAATAAAAAAATAGCATGAGTTAAAAAATCACAAAATGCACATGTCCAACTCCCGGTATTCAAACGCCTAAGCACAATAACAAAGTCCTAGTACCATAACAGTCTGATAGGTTACTAAAGAAGGTACTGGACCATATTTATATCCTTGGACTATAGTATAAAACAAACTATACCTTTAGTTTTGTCTAATGTTTTCGACCACCAAAGAAAGAATTTGACTCATACATCAGTCACAATAACTATCATCTCAAAACTTATTCTGTGATCATTCTTATGTGAATCATTAATCATTATGCCCAAAAGCAGCATAATTATCTAACAGAATATGAGAAAGAATCCCACAAAATATGGAAAAAACAGACTGAAAAAATAGTGAAAACAATGTGGTAACCAAAAGGAAAATCTGACAATCCAACGGACTTATGGAAATGGCACTCATGAGAATTAAAAAACTTAATACTGGAATCCAGCTTACAAAATATTACAAAAACCCCTTTGTGCATATCAAACATGTATAACCTGCCTCAAATTTATGAAGGAAAATAAAGTACCTTTGTTAATAGATGCTCATCATCTCGGTTTCGCTTTCTCTGAACCTGAGCTCTAGGAGATCGCGACCGTCTAGAATTATTAGGTCTATGTGTTCTGTCCTCTGGACGAAAAATATTGGTCACAACACTACGAAGAGGAAATATTTTATGATCATCCTGAGCTTCTTTCCATTCTCTACTGTGATGAATTCTAGAAACTTTAGATGACTTTTCTCTGACATCACCAGAATCTGAGAGCACATTCTGAGCCAAATGCTCCTGCTGCGAATTGTGTCTTCCAGACAGTTCATTCAATGAAGTGTTAGACTTAGCCACTTCATGAGGAAAAGATTGTTCCTGCTGCACATACCAGCAGATATTTGACGAGAGGTGATCCCATAACCTGCAGCAAGATAGACGATATATGATGAATAATTACTGACAATAAATAATCATTTTGATGCCTGCTTCTTAGAGCATGAAGCAGTTACTGATATCCAAAGAGAATGGTGTTACCAGGACACAAAAGTAGCACTGTCATCCCCCAAAAACACGTTGAGTTCCTTCCTAGCCTCATCTTTGCGACGTCCATTCCTGAGTAAGACAACAACATATTCCTGCAAATGTATATTGAAAAGGTAACAACTCTTGTTAAATAAAATGGTGAAGGACCACAGATATTTTAAGCTTGCCAAGTATAATCAATCATTACTATCATCTACAAATTATTAGAGGCATTCTAAAAAAAAAACTAACCGGGAAACCATCTTAGGCAATCAAAAATAGGAACCAGAATTATCAGATACTTGATACAAGTCATATAGTAAACACAATTAGAACACTGAGCTTGAAGAAAATACAGTTTCAGAGCAACAAATAGCTAAGAGAAAAAATATTACAATGTTGTCGCTAGTGAAGATGAGACAAAAAAAGATCCACCAATATGAAGCCCAACATGGTCCAAACTTATCTACAACAATGCAAACCTTATATTCTTTCGTCTCAAACCTGTACCCCTCTGTAGCCATCAGAACACTTCACACAAACATATCCGTCTAAGTCGCTACTGAATCTAATACTAGGCGAACAAAGACTTTGCTTCGTGATCCTTTTAGCTGCTCCATACCTTAAAAAACGTCAAATTTTACCTTCCTATAGAAACCTAAAAGATCTCTTGCACCCTGCGTCCATAAAATTTCACTTTTGATTTGATCTTCCCTTTACAAAATCTCCCACCATGATACCCAACATAAAATTTAGTTCACATGTTGATGGCTTCCAACAAGATCACGAGATCATTATAGAATCCCAAAAAATCTCACCTGACCAATTAAATGATAATATCAATGCTCCATGTGACACCACAATAAACCCACAACATAAGACGATTATAATGTAACACTTGATAGTCTGCTACTAGATACTGGAAACTAAGAATTTCTGAAGAACATGAATAACAACCAGTTGCTAGCAATAAAAGTTTCCAAAAAGAACTGTCAACTAGATTACTGTTAACAAATCTATTTTCTGAATGAAAAAAGGGGAAAAAGCACTACTAAAAGCATTCATAGAACTCATGGTGACTGAATCTTCAGATCTAATAAGGGTTCTTAACTCTTTAATAAACATAAAATCTATTTGCTGAACATGCTATCATAATAGTCAATGGCTGCTGTCTTACACTATTTAAGGGTCAAAAACCTCAGCTGAGCCTAAATAATGCCCTAGATACCGTCTGTATTCATTGTAGGTTGAAATTTGAAAATTCCAAATTGGGATAACAAATTGAGGAGAAACAAAAAGAAAATGACAATCAAATATAACCCAATGGTCTAAGTCTGCTTTAATTGAGACGAAAAGTTTCTATATACAGCAAAAGACAAGAAAAACATAAGGATAATCTATGTTTTGTCTCTTCACTGAACACACAAAAAAAGCAAACAACTTGAGTTTTATGCTCATGTAATTTATTAAATTTAGCTTGTTGATCCTTGGTATGAAATCTTATAATCTCAATTGTACACCATCTGAACTCATTATAACTACTACATAATATAAAAAATCCAACGCAAGTGATAAACTGAATTTAAGGCTTTAATCGATCGTCCAGTTGCTCTTGGCCAAAGTTTTGATCATCTCACATTGTCAACATGATAATCACTTCTAATGGGCATGGCTCCCTCGAACTATGATGACAAGGTTCCTTTTTAGATAAGATCCTCTGACTATATATTTTTTTCTTAATCTGAAGTCATCCTGCTGTCTCTCTGAGACAGACTAAATATAGATGCTGTTACATTTTGCCCTTCTTGATGGTTAAGGTGTTTGTCCTGGCTTCATCAACAGAATCACTGTAAAATAACCAGGGCCTACAAGGAAGACATCTGCAATATCCATCGTAAGTATAGCACATTTCTTGAATCTCATACATCAGAAGCAACAAAGAATACTTATTTTAAAAATCAGACTGCTCCTTTCCTTGTTACCACCTGTGACAAATAAATGTTTAGAATAAAATTGCCTTTATATTCCTTCCTTGGAAAGAAGTTCAGAAGATACCAAGTTCAACTGACTACCTTCACATGTAAGAAGAGCACAGCAAACCATCACAAATCTGGGGTTCTAAAAAGGTTTTCACCACAGTTCTAGTTATCCACCATGCCATCAAGGACAACTCTTCTACATCAACTTCCAGCGTATATGTAGGAATATCATCTTCTGCCTTTTCTTCCTCAGCATCATCTTCAGATTCCTATGCCATCTACAATTGCTATGATAAGCTTCTTTTCTGAAAACAAGCTCAGTATGACCTGTCTTCCCATAACAAAGAAATTCCTATGGCCATCCACTTTTCTCAAACACCTGGCAACTTGGTGCTGAAGTAGCTAGTACAGCAAGTCAAGGTCATGAAGATATTAACCATGCTACCATGTTTCCAACACCATAAAGCCTTTGTGGTTTTGCCTCAATCTCCAAAGCATCATAATATGTATTGTCTGTTGTCAGTGCCAGCAAGCTGTGGAACATCTTTGTGTAGACCCCTACGATGTCACCCATCTGCTAAATCTATAAACTTTATTAGAGAGCTTGATCACAGCTTGTAGGTAAAAATTTTTATCTCATCAAAGTTTAACATCCTCCGAAGTGCCAATCTCCATACCCATCCTTCTGCTGTCATCCAGTTGTCACTGCATGCAGGACCCTTCAATTAAAGTGACCAACTGGATCTTTCTAAATGTTGACAATTGATATTCAACCAAAGATAGACTCAACTTAACACCTAATCAAGGAAAACAACTAGATTCATCTGACCTCTGAAATGCAAAACCTTCAACTTCACATATTTGTCACCGATAGGATACTCACCTCCTATCAAGCACCTTTTTTCCTTCGAGGGAAGAAAGCATCCATCAAGAAGAAGATAATAGAGAAGACAAAGGGGGATTACATATAGAAAAAGAAGAGAGAGAGGACAAAGGTAAAAGAGAAGAGAACTCTAAAAGAGGAAATCTCATTGGGAATATGCTATAAAATACTTAACATGTTCTCACTTAATACAGCAATAAACGACACCAAATGGAACCATAAACCATCCAGAACCATATGGCACCTGGTTTATCACTTGTGTTGTAGTCATCATTCACTCAACCAAATAAGTCTCAAACTTCTAGGAGTCCTTCCCCGAGTCTCTATCACCCAGGTGCAGTCTAGAGTCATTCTACTGACTTTGAGTCCACTTAAGACACTCCAAGTGGATAAAGGTTAACAAGATATTAAGATCTATTCCAAAAAATTGGGATCCTAAAGTAATGGCAATACAAGAAGCAAAAGATCTAAATAACTTTCCGCTTGAAGAACTTATCGGGTCCTTGATGACCTATGAAATGACATGTATAGCACATGATGAACTTGAGAACAACCTTCCAAAGAACAGGAAGGACATGACACTTGGAACCAAAGAAGGCCACTTGGGTGAAAACTCAAGTGACGATGATGATGATGATAACTTGGCACTTCTTACAAGAAGATTTAAAAAATTCTTAAAAAGGAACAAAACAAAACAAGACACTAAGAACAAAAGTGAACTAAAAAATGACCAAATAATTTGTTATGAATGCAAGAAGCCGGAGCACTTCAAAAATAAATGTCCCCAAGTGAAAAAGAAGCTACCAAAGAAAAAGAAGACGCTCAAAGCAACTTGCGACAATTCGAGTACATCTAAAGACAATGAGCCAATCAACAAAGACGAAGTTGCAATTTACGCTCTAATGGTGCTCAATGACGAGGTAGGTAAGTGACTCAATCAAAGCTCATTTATCTTTTGATGAATTATTAAGTGATTTTCATGATTTGTTTGATGAATGTAAATTAGTTGGTAAAAAATATAAATTATTGAAAAAGGATTATGCTTCTCTTTCTAGTGAACTTAAAAAATTAAAAAATGAGCATGATAAGTGTATGTTAACTCCTTGTACTCAATGTGAAGAGTTAGAGTCATTTAAAAAGGAAATTTTGTTACTACAAGAAACATTTGAAAATTTTAAAATATGTAATAAATCTCTAAACATGATCCTTGCTAATAAGAGTCATGTTCATAGAAAGGAAGGAATTAGCTTTATGAGTAACACTCAACAAAAGTCAACTATCTTCATTAAAGGGCCTACATTACATGTCTCACCTAAAGAAAAATATATTTTTTTGTGGAAAATCTTATCATTTTGCTTATAAATGTCCATTTAAAAGGTATAGTCCACACAAATTAGTTTGGGTTCCTAAATGAACCATAAATCACTCAATGATAGGTAGATCTATTCATGAGAGACCCAAAGTCAAATGGGTATCTAAAGGAAAACTTCCTTTCTTGTCGATGTGTTTACAATCACAAGCTAGGAGCAAGAGATGGTACCTTGATAGTGAATGCTCAAGGCACATGATCGGAGATCCAACACACTTCTCTAAGCTCACTAGCCAAGACGAATGGTACGTTACCTTCGGAGACAACAACAAAGGAAAATTTATTGGCAAAGGAACCATAGGTAACAAGTCAAACCTTTTAACCTATACAGAATAAGATTTTCAGATGATCATTGCTTGTAAAATTAATTTTCAGACAATCATTGCTTGTCCACCTCACTAGCAGATCAATTTGAGTGGTCGTATGCATGGAGCCAAAGCTAGTCAAAATCCCAGCAAAAACACCACCACATTTGGGAGAAAATGCACTGGACAATATGATGCAAAACATCAGCCATCTCAGACCCTTTGAACCCCTAAGTGGCACACTAGGGGATGGACCCCAATACCATAAATGAGGGACAACACATCTTTAGTGAGCCTACTTTTTATTCAATAAAAGAGATAACCCTTTGTGTGTGACCATTTTACTTGCTTGGGAGAACTTCTATGCCTACTTGCTTTTGTAGGTGACAATGTTTTATCCAAAAGTTTGTCATTCTAACCTTTTCTTTTAACCATTATGAACATATGTTGCTTGGGTGTCACATGCCTTACGTAATCTCAATCAAATCCATGACAAAGTGGTATCAAAGAAGGTCAAGCAAGCAATTGAATCGCGTGTAGCAGGCAGCATGGTGAAACTAGTGCAACTGTGCTAAAGGAACAACTTTCATATATACCTACTATAAATAAACGGACAAGATCTCAAGAAACAAGTAGAACCACTCGAGAGGAGTGTGGTATCTGCAATGGTGTTCCAATGAAATGACCACCCTCCTACACAAAAGAGGCATAACCAGAAGAGCAACTTGAACCAAGGTTCGTTGTCACGATCCGAGCCTGATGGGCTAACTAACCCATCAACTTCATTTGGCCTAAACCACTGGTCAAAATACTTAAGCTGAAGTTAATAGTAGTACACTCATCAGGCCCATATAAGTCAATCTTAATCTTGCTCACTTCCGATGTGGGACTAATCAGAGTTACAATTTCTCCCACTCAAGAACTTAACGTCCTTGTTAAGGCCCAGCATAGCCCAGATCAAACCCTAGTATGATGCATGTGAGACGCAACCCAATGATGGCTCTACATCGTGACGAGTCCTTCCAACTCCATCCACGGGTAGCCCTTTCCTACTCGAGCCCCCTCACCATGCCCAAATACTAGGTCGGCTCTAATACCAAATGTCACGACCCGAGCCTGATGGGCTAACTGACCCATCAGCTTCATTTGACCTAAACCACTGGTCAAAATACTTAAGCTGAAGTTGATAGTACACTCATCAGACCCTTGTAAGCTAATCTTAATATTGCTCATTTCTAATGTGGGACTAATCGGGGTGTTACATTTGTTTTTTCAAGTATCAGACCCATCTCGACGATTTGTCGGACCAGTATGTACCAATCAATACCGATGTACCAACACACGGTACATCGGTGCATACTAGTGTTTCAGAGAGGACGAAAAAGAGGGATAAGAGGAAGAGGCAATGGAGGAACAAAGGAGGAAGAAGAGGAAGCGGTGGAGGTAGAAGAAGAAATAAGAGAAGCAGTAGCCATAGCGTACCTAGGCAGTAGCAATAGCGTACCTGGGAAGTAGCGACAACAACATCAATGTCGAAGCAACAGCGACAACATCGAAGCGGTAGTGGCAAGGCAGGGACTACGACATCGTACGCGAGAAGAGGGCTCATGAACACGAACCCTAACATGGTTTTTTCTTTTTTTAACGCTGACTTGGACAAGGCCCTAGCACTTTTTTTATTTTTAATTATTTTAACTGGACCACCGAAAACTTGGGTGGTCCGCGGATCGGCCCATGCTCGGACCGGTACATACCACCCGTACCATACCGTTTCAAGCGGTACAATAATCCTAGGACTGAACATCATCAAAGCCACAAAGGATCACTGAGACCAAGCTGCGATTCAACATCATCAGCCAACAAAAATCGATTTTAGATTTGTAGAAGCAAACCAAGAAAAAGACGAGGTAAAAGAGACGAGAAAACAAAACTCCTCACGTTTGAGTGATAAAACTAGTAAGGTGAGAAAAATGGACTCTCTATGATTGAAAACCAAAATAGGTATTTTGCAGTAAAAATCAAAAACTAACTTTTTTCATAATTCGACCAATAATATTGACACAAAATATATTTTGTCAAAGTTTAACTATCCTAACATTTTGATATTTTATTATTTTTATCTCAATATTATTGCTTGGTCAATTCTAGTATTGTCAAACAATTTGACCAATCCTATCGATCCAAAACCAATAGTCTTGTGACCTAAGAATTGTATACATCTTTGAAAATGTTTATACTATTTCGGATGATCTTGTCTCCGTACCCCCACAATGAAAATGAAACCTAACTGTTCATGAATGTGAATATTTCTCAATCAATCTTTTTTAACACCCCATATTCATATCAATTTCTTCATCTGAATGAAACTACTTACATATATATATGTATATATATAATTTACCTAACTACCAAAATCCTGGTCCATAAAAAGCATTAGTCCTAACAATCGTTCTATAAAATTTTCCTCCCAATCCAAGGGGCACAAAGTGATCACACAACACTTGTCAAACAGCTCTCTCCACTTTGTCACTTAACAAGTTGACTTCTTAAGAACCTCTTACCGGCCTATTGTAATTATACCTTCCATACTTCTATTGTCTTAAATCACACTTCACAAGTTCAATCTTAATCTTACATACTCAGAAACCCTAAGTTTCCAATCTTGGTCTCAATATCTCTAGTTTAATATTAATTTCAATCAACCTCTAATTAATCAAAACCATATTAGCAACAAATGAAAATTACTACACAAAATCCTAGATTGTAAAAAATAAGCACTTAAAAAAGTTGACAACTTAAGAGTGACCCTTCACACAAACCTATAGTGATAGAGAACTCGCTAAACACTCAACCATAGACACAAATATCAATCACCTAAAAACAACTATGATCAGGCAAGGCACAAGATTTGCATGTGATCTCGATCCCAAACAGGTTCACAGTAAAGCATATATAATCTGTAACAGAAGTACAAAATAGAGTTTGACCACCCCAAAGTACATTCCGTATACTTATTTATGCATGCATTTTATCTTCAAACCATGTAACAGCTTTCTGGGCAAACATTTCTTAACCTTTTTGTCCTACCAATACCCCACTTTGGCAATCGCATCTTCTTTCTGACTATCTATCCTAGATGTAGTCCATATTTGTTAAAGAAGCAACATATGCAACAAAATGTAGATAGTTAACTGCCACACAAATTTAAGGAGCTTATATCTCATTCTGGAACCGACAGCAGCATAGGTTCCAATTTTACTGAAACAACTAAGAAGAATCAGTTTAAACTAAAACAGAAAATACATTTTCTGGTCCATATCATTTCTTAGTTTAGAAACCAAAAGTGCTGCTCTAATTCAGGTTATGAAGTATCTACCGTACAGCAATGTCCGATCATAAAAACAGAAGGTTTATCAAAACCTTATTCAAAAAAGCGACAATATATTTTTTTACTTCACCATATTTGATATTTACATATGGAAACTAAGCGTAACAAAAACAATAAGCAAGGTACTTGGAAGAAGAGAAATCAATGTTAAAACAATCAAAAGCACCGAACATTAAAGATCACGGAAGAAGAAAACAAGAGAAGGCAAAAGGAGCTGTACAGCGAGCGTGTCATCAGTGTAATCGCCCATAAACTCCTTGAGCTTCTCCTTCACCCTCTCACGCAGCTTCGCCAAGCCATCCGTAGTGAAATTGACCTTAAACGTCCGAGCATCGCCGTCGCAATCGGAACCGTCCATGGCCAAGGCAGAAGAGGAGAGCACCAAAACCCTAATTCGATCGACAAAAACCCAAATCAAACCGAACCATGGAAGGTAGCGCGGGGCCGGAACGTCGATGGTGGCAGGGCGTGTGGCAACCGACGAGGGGCAGGCGGTGGGCCGGTGGCACGGAGGCAGTGGACGCGAGGGCGGTGCGAGTGGAATGCGATGCGCAGTTGTGTCGCGGCGGTGACGGACGGGATTAGGGCTCCTTCGGTTGGGAGGGTCGGTGGCGTGGTTTTCCTCGATCCTCCCTTCCCTTTTAACGAGGGTGATTGCGAATGACGAGAATGCCCCCCTTCGCTTCGACGTTGGCATTGCAAAACTTGGCCTTTTTCGTCTCGATAATTTAAGCTTCTTAAACACTGTAACGCAAAATTTTCAGATTTTTCTTTTTTTTTCTAGAAAATAATAATTATACGACTAGTTTTGTTATGTTATATTATTGAAACGACATGGTAGAATTGTACGAATTTTATTTGCTTCAAGCAAATCTTTTTCTATCACCTATGTTTTTTTTTTCGGATAAATATAGTCTCTCTGGTGTTGCTTTTTGTTGTAGTGTAGATTCAAAATTTATGTTTTTAAGATGATATAATAAAATACAAGAAGTTTTTACTATAGGCATTTTATTATCATAATTTTCTATCAAACAATGTTAAATGTTGTTGTATTATCTTAGGTTGAAAATTTTCACTTTAAGTTTTTTTTTTTGTAAAATGATATTTTTATAAGTATTTGAAATAGTATAGTGAAAATCACACAAGCTTTCCCCCTTGGGTTTTTTTTTTTTTTTGCATTTTGCGATAAGCGATATTTGTACGAATTATTTATTGTTGTTTTATCAGAAATAGTATCGTTTTTTTTTTTCATTGTCTTCTTTTTTCGATGAAATAATGTGCTAAGATGATATTTTTAGTTTTTGAAACAAGAAAAATGAGATGGTAACAAAAGTTATCTAAAGCAAAAGGTCCATTCAAAAATATAAAATCTTTATTTTTGGCACAACATTTTGACATAGAATTGTTATATGAACATCGTTTTGTAGAAAAATATGATAATGAACAAAGATATCGAATGGCTTGACAATAAAGGATACTGTTTTATTAAATAAAATAAAATTTTAATCCATCGCACACAAAAATTCAACTTAACGAAATATTTTTAACAATAGAAGGATTGTATGAACATTATTCTTAAAAAAAATACAACAAAGAATGTTGTTTCTTGAGAAAATAATGATGGTGATAAAATTAATTGAAAGTAGATGGTTTGCATGATTTTTGTAGTACTATTTCAAATATATAAAATTTTAAATTACATAATATTTTAGAACTAGAGAAATCATACAATATTATTTGTTGAGAAAATAAAAAACACTATATATCTTTCAACAAAAACTATGGTGGTGAGAAAACATGATTTTCATTGCACCAACTCAAAAAAATATAAAATTTTCACTTAGCACAGCATTTTTGCATTAAATAAGTTGTGTGAGCATTATATTATGAAAAAACATAACACTAGACAAGTCATATGAACATTGTTTCATGCACAATGAACATTATTGCATAAGAAAAGTACAATGATAAGAAAACTTGTCAAAAAAGTGAATGATTGCACAATTTATTAATCATCATCAAATGTAAAATTTCAATTTTATGCAACTTTCTATCATTAAAAAGGTCATATGAACATTGTTTCATAAAAAAAATATGACAATGATAAAATTTACTAAAAGTGAAAGATTCTCATGATTTTAGTCACACTGTTTCAAAAATATAAAACATTAAATTTATAGAGTATTATATCAATAGAGAGTTCATATGAATATTATCTCTCTAAAAACCATGACAGTGGTAAATTTTGCTAAAAGTGGATATTTCACATGATTTTCATGGCATTGTTTCAAAATTATAGAATCTCATCTTAACACATGGTTTTAACACTAGAAATATTGTATCATTATTGTTTTGCTAAAAAGGTTAATGGTGAATATTGCTTCGTGGGAAAATAAAATAGTGACGAAATCGGTCCAAAGAAAATTATCACACGATTTTTATCGTGACATTTTCAAAATACAAAAAAATTGACCTTTTGCATTATATTATTTGTATGAGCATTATTTCATGAAGAAATATAATAGCGAGTGTTGTTTTATGAGAAAATACAATGTTGATATTATTTGTCAAAAGTGGATAGTTGGTACAATTTTTGTCACATTATTTCAAGTATATAAAATTTTGACATAGCACCACACCATATTAATGATGTAAAAAAAAGACTATGGCAAAATTTGTCATACATCATTCTAAAAATATAACATTTTGACTTTCCATAACGCTTTTTAGTGGTCTAGAAATAGTACGAAGATTGTTTGAATCTCCAAAAAATGGTGACATTAAATGTTGTTATGGGAGATAATGTGATGATAATGACAATGGTGCATACAAATTCCATCATGCTATTTTAAAATTGCAAATCTAGTTGAATGTCAATTTGTTAAAAAATCAAATAGTAAAAAAAAAAATCAAATTCTCATGATCTTTGTCTCATTGTTTTGAGAGTGAAAGATTTCAACTAAACTTTAAAGTATAACAACATTAGAGATGTTGTATGAATGTAGTTTTTACAAAAAAAATAATATAATAGTGAAAAGAAATTGTCGAACGGATTGTATAATTTTATCACATCATTTCAAAAATATAAAATTATGACTTAGCACAATAGTTTAACGACACACGATTTTTATTACACTATTGTAAAAATATAAAATTTTCAACTTAAGATAACATTTTAGCCGTAAAGAATGTAGCATGAACATTATTTCATGAAAAACAAGAGAATGAATGTTGTTTGGTGAGATAATGAAATAAAGTGATAAGATTTGTCAAAAGTTTTTTTTTTTATCGAATAGTTTTATATGAATATTGTTTCGCGAAAAAATATGAGAGTGACAGAATTTGTTGAAAGCGAATGGTTTATACAATTTTTATATCACAATTTGTCAAAAGTGGGTCATTCACATAGTGATGATAAACATGAAAGTGACAAAATTATAATATTTCTAGCTCACACAAGAATGTTGTACGAGAGATGTTGAAAGACATGATAGAGATTACGACAAAATTTGTCGAAAGTGGATGGTTTGGGTAATTTTTCATCATTCAAAATATCATAATTTTTACTTAGCACAACGTTTTAGAAATAGAAAGAGTCGTAAGATCATTATTTCGTGAAACAAAAAACATAACAATGAATGTTATTTTATGGAAAAAAAAATTATGATAGCAACAAGTTTTGTGAAAAGTATATGATTCACATGACTTTTGTTGCACCATTTCATTAATATTTTGATTTAGCATAATATTATAGCATCAAGAAAGTCATATGAATGTTCTTTTATGAAAAATATGATATTGAAGAATATTAGTTATGGATGGTTGGCATAATTTTCATTACGGAGTTTCAAAAATATAATATTTTAACTCAACAAAAAAATGTCATGTGAATATTATTTCACTATAAAAATATAACAATGAGAAAATTTATCAAATGAACATCGTCAGCACACTGTTTAAAAATAAAAAAAATTGATTTATTGAACATTATTTCACAAAAAAATAAATTAGCGACAAAAATTATCGAAAGCGGAGGTTCGATGATTTTTCTTGTACAATTTCAAAAAAAAAATCAAAATCTTATGCTAGCACTATATTTTAGCACAAGAGAAGTCATGTGAATACTATTTCACAAAATATATAATAATAAATAGCTCCTTCTACTACTGATTATGTTTTTACTATCGAATGTGATACCTCTGATGTGGGAATAGGATCTGTAATTGTTGGATTTATTGTTTTCTAGGTTGAAAGTTAGGTGATTTTGGAAGCATTGTGACATGTAGAAGATCATTGACACACACATAGTTATTTACTCTTCAAGCTCTCAACAATTAATTGTGTCAATGTTTTGTGGAACCTGTGAAGGATTTTTACTATTCCAAATGGATTCCAAAAGTCATTTTCCACATGACTTCAATGTATATATACATATATATATACATATATATATAATTACAACTTAAGCAGCTTAATTGTTCTTATTACATTGATGCCTAATCTACATGTATGATAATGTTGATCAATTTAATTCAACTCATGATTATAAATTTCAAGAAAACGCAATTAGTGAATTCCAATGATAATTTGATTAAGAAAACTACGTCGGTACTCGGTCATCGAATTCATAAATGAGATAAAAACGTTGATTAATCCAACAAGATTTAGTCATAATAAGATGGATTCCGAAAGATAAACAAAAAATAATAAGAATCAAAAGATCGATGCAAGATTATATAGTACGATAACCTTTGAGCTCATGACTATAAGTTTCATCGAAGCAAGATTATATAGAAAATTACATGTTAACTATATTCCAGCATGAATCACTTGAAAATTTTTCTCATACAAACTGTAAAAAATATTTCTCTTTTGTATTATAAAGAAACTCAACCTTATTCAAAAATTTTCCTCTATCAAAAATCTATAGATACATATGGTGTTCATAGAATGACTAAATTCTATATTGTAGACTTCCTTCATTCATAAAGAGATCCTTTACCTATTAGGATTTCTTTTGCTTGCAAGAATATTGATTCTGGAAATCCAAAAAGTGTGTGAACCAACCATGATTGATGGCCGGAAACAATCCGTGCAACCCTTCGTGGAAATTCATGAGCTAATGGTCATAGCATCAGTCCAAAATCTAAGAGAGAGAGAGAGAGAGTGTGTGTGTGTGTGTGTGTGTGTGAGAGAGAGAGAGAGAGAGAGAGAGAGAGGGTGTAAGATTCCCTACCGGCCGGTGGCAAAAAGGATCTCAGCGAGTGTGGAGGAGACTTAGGGTTAGGATACCTAGTAAATCTTAAAGGGGCAGTTTGTGGGTCCTCGAAATCAAATTGTTCCACGTGCTGCACAAAGCCGGGGAATTGGAAGGTCCGCTGAGACGGGCACGTCGTTGAACGGCCGATGCGCGTGCTGCTGCTTCTGCTTCCGCCTCCACGTTAGCTGGGCAGCCGTAGAGAGACCTTTCCCTATGACGGGAGGAGACTCCACCCCAAGATTTCTCGCTTTGTCACTATTCCATGGGTAACAATGGTCACAACAACGTTAACGTTCCATCCTCCACGATCACATCTCTTTGCCATTGTGTTTTATGGGACCGATGATTACTTTGATCGGTGCATCCGAGAGCAAACTACCGTAGAATGTCTGCACCAGCATCCAAATGACATACTTTGGCACCTTCTGCCTTTCCATGCATCATCTCACACGTACATCCATATCTTCCCTTCAACCTGTGTTATTTTACCGCGCATTTTTGGCTTCACATATGCATGATACATTCAGATCTAACAAGCGTCTGTGATGCCCACCATGTAAGATCCAGTAGAGCATGTGCTCCAAGGTGGTCTATAAGTCCTTGTATCGGCGTGAATGTGATCGGAAAGCGAGGAGAGAGATGGGGAGAAGGCCTTGTTGCTCCAAGGAGGGACTCAACAGAGGAGCGTGGTCTGCTCGAGAAGACCAGATCCTTACTGACTACATTACGATACATGGCGAGGGTAAGTGGCGAGACCTCCCCGAGAGTGCAGGTAAGAATAATAGAATAGTGTAGTGTAGCTTCTCTCAGGAACACTTGTCTCGATTGCGATTGCTCGTGCGCCGATGTCTGATCGAGGATCGTTTGAGTCAGGGTTGAAAAGGTGCGGTAAAAGCTGCAGGCTCCGGTGGCTGAACTACTTGAGGCCGGACATCAAGAGAGGCAACATCACGGAAGATGAAGAGAACCTCATCGTCAGGCTCCATGCACTTCTGGGAAATAGGTAACCCCTCCTTCATCGCTCTCGCGCTGTCGTCGACTTGAACCTGTGAAAGGGGCTGTGTCGCTGTAGATGGTCGCTCATAGCAGGCAGATTACCGGGGAGAACCGACAATGAAATCAAGAACTACTGGAACACGTACCTCGGCAAGAAAACGTCGCCTCAGCTCTGCATCAGAGGATCATCAAGACGGAAGGAAAACAAGAAAGGAGAGTCGTCGGTAGAAGAAGTGAAGGCAAGGGATGGGCAACCGAGTCAGGTGATTCGGACCACGGCTGTGAGGTGCAACAAGGTCTACCTCCCATCGCTACGAGAAGAGCTACTACCGACCGATAATTACCATAGCTATGAGCTTACTCACCACAACGAGAGCCCGTCTTCGTTGGTCCTTCGAGATGCTGGCCCTGTCGATTTTCTTGCGGACTTCGACATGGATGAACTCATGTCGAGCTTCGAGGATGATGGCCTCTTGCAACGATGTATTGACGAAGCCCACGACGACGGCAACTTCAACTCGCTATGGTTCTGCGACGCCATGCAGCAAGATGCGAGAGAAGGTACTGGCTGCCCGGAATCGCATGCAGCCTTTGAGCTTGAAAGCTTGGCTTCTCCGATGGATTCTGCAGAAGGCGAGCAAAAGAATTAATGGAGGTCGAAGCAAAGGTCTCTTGGGAGTCACCCATTTCCACTTTATGTCGGATGCATTCATGTGTTGGACCATAAAAGTAATAATCCCCCTTCTTCGGCTCCTCGGATAAGTTTATGGGTGATTTCTCTGTAAAATTCCTTTATTCAGCTTTTCTCGAAACGCCTTTTCTTTTTCTTTTTCTTTTTTTTTCCAAACAGTATCTTTAATTAAAAAATATTCAGCTTTTCCAAACAATACCTTTGATTCAAAAAATATTTAATTTTTTTTCCCATTATAATGTTTTGACCATAATAATAGAGAGAACATCCTCGATGAGTCAACGATTTCATAATTTACGAGATTAAGAAATACCATAGAAATAATATTAGGACATTTATTTGTGTTAACAAAAAATAAAAATATAAAGCTCTTATTAAGAAAATTAATTAATACCAAAATATTAGTGTTGTATTTAAGATAAAACTAATCGGGACGACGGAAGCCGAGGTGTGGGAATGTATAGGTGGATGACAGGCTGGAACTGAATACAACACACCAAGCCAGCAAGTGCATCCCATGTGGAGACTTGTGTATTGTTACGGTAAGTAACTTTTTCAGCCGTGACCTTGGGGTCGACGCGACCGGTTCAGGGCTCCAAATGGCTGGGATCAGACGTGGCTCCTCTTGGGTGGTTGCGGTGGCTGCCACGGAGGCCGCTGGCCGGAAAGTCTCGTGGCGTCGGGCGGATTAAGTGGCGGTCGAGTACCTGCACACAGGTCGGGCCCGTTGCTCGGCCCGACCCCTCTGACGATTAAGTTAGTGAAGCAGAATGGAGTATTTTTTGTGAGATTGTCCCCCCCCCCATCCTGTTGGGAGCCAGGGGTATTTATAAGTGGGTTTGATGTTACCTGATGTGCTATCCTACCGGGGCGGGGCCGTACCTCTGATGGCGTCTGTCGTTGTGGTCGTTGCGTGGAAGGCCGAGCTGCCGCAGGGTATGGGGGGTGTCAGTCAACGCCTTCCCCTGCCTTGACCGGCTACGAGGGGTCAGCCGAGGAGGTTGCTTGGGTATGGTGGGTGTAGGTGCGCGTCGTGTCGTCGTTAATGCTCGTTCAGGAGCCATGTGCCGCACAGGGTGTCCGGCGTGGGGGTGTATTACGTCAAATCCGGGGTGTTATGTCAAATCAATTTTTTTACCCCTATCATGTATGATATATATACACACGTATACATATAATTTTTGTGCTTGAAGGATATACTTCCACACCTTCGCATGTCCAGTCCGTTAAATACGCGAACTTGGTCGATAGATCATTGCGTGTCTGCAATAATCTGTAACGAAATGTTCCGATTCGCCCTTTGGGAGCTATGATTGCTGGCCACAGTCAGGCCGGCAAACGTTGGATGGGAATTGGTTGTGTTTGCTCCAATGCAGCTGCAGCCTAATGAACACATCTGTGGCAACATCATACGTGCATGCACAACCCTTTTGGGAGTGACACAATGTACCAACAAGGTTCATGGTTGTTTGCTGAGAACTGGGTGGTACGCCATACCTTGTGTCTGCAACTCTCGAGTGTCACTTTACATCGGATGTGATTGCTTCGATGATGCCTTCAGTTCTCCACGACCCTTGATCAGGACAATGCTCGTTGGACTCCTGCATCTGCAGAAACACTGATGCTATATAGCTCATCATTATGTCCAGGTTGCACATTAGTCATGATCACCTTGGTCCTGACAATAGTATGCCTTGGAGCAGTAGTCAATGGCTTTTAAGTATTAATACTCATTTGGTATGATTTCTAAAAATAATAATAATAATTCATAAGATCAAATGGGGCTTAAATCTGATACAGAAGAGAGGAAGTGAAGAAGTGTAGTGTTAGAAACATTTGAAGTATTAGTCCAATTGTATAAACATGATGTACAAAAGTTCGGTCACCTCAACTGTAGCTTACCGACGGTGACGGGATCCCAACGGAGCCGGAGCGTCTCCTCTCCTCCTATAAAAGAGGAAGAAACCTGTTTTTTTGTTTCTGTCCACGGAGATCGAATAATGGGGGAGAAGAAAAATTAGTAGAGACAGAAAAGAAAAAGAAATCAAATGGAGCGATGTAGCCGATCGAAGAACCCGTCGTTCTCGTCGTCTCTGCTCGACGCCATCTACCGCTCCATGGACGATGAGCACGGCGATAAGAGCCACCGGAGAGCACCCGGCCGTTCCTCCAACCACAAGAAGCAAGCGGAGCAACCCACGGTGGCACCCTCCACCGATCACTGCCATTACCGACCCTGCGTCACCGAATACCACCGCCGCAGCGTCCCTCCCACTTCCAGCTCCTCCTCCTCCTCTTCGGCTTCCTCCACCACACCCACCGCCGCCACCACAAGCAGCAGCTCCGTCGGCTTCTCCTCGTCGTCCGACGTCGAGTCCATCCGATCGGACCGCATCCCTCGGCCCGATCTCCTGGACCCGGGGAAAAAGAAGAAGAAATCCAAGTGCGGATCGATCCGTACCGGGCTCCGGAGTCTGAGGAAGAGCCGGGAGCCCGCCTCGGCTGCGGTGGCAGGATCGTCGTCGGCGTCTCCAGGAGCGCGGCTTGCGAGCTTCCTCAACGCCCTGTTCGCCTCCGCGGGGAGCCCCAAGAAACCCAAGATACCTATTCCCGCCGCTGCGTCGGTGGCGGCCGCGGCAGGTGGAGGTGGGGAGGACTCGGCGTGCTCGTCTTCCACGTCCAGTTGCAGGCGCTCGTGTCTGAGCAAAACGCCAACGGCGGCGGACCGGCGGCGGGCGTCGGGGGCCGATGCGGGGAAGCGGTCGGTGCGGTTCTACCCGGTAAGCGTGATCGTCGACGAGGACTCCCAGCCCTGCGGCCACAAGCGCCTCCAGGACGACGCGGGCAATACGGCGCCGCCGGTGGCGGCGAGGGTGGAGGAGCTGCTGAGGGCGGCGGGGGCGGAGGTGGAGGCAGAGGAGGAGGGCGACGGCGACGGAAGCGAGTCGAGCTCGGATCTGTTTGAATTGGAGAATCTGACGGTTATGATGCGCGGTGGACGGTTCCGCAATGAGCTACCCGTGTATGAGACCACCGACCCTCACACTAATCGCGCCATCGCTCAAGGTTTGATCCATTAGGGTTAAATATAATACATTACTAAAAAATAAAGACAAAAAAATCTACAAAGAGGTAAGAAAAAACAAAAAAATATGTGTCTGTAATATTATTTATATCTCTTCTCTAGAAATCGTGTTCTATGGGATAGTCATAGAAAACGTAAATCAAATAAAAATAGTGAGTGTGTTTCTTTTTATTTTTATTTTTTGTTTTTGTTATGTGACAAACTGTAAATAGAGAGTCGTCGGAGTAAGCGTATGGTGTAGTATGTGTGCAGAGCAGCAGGTAAAAGAGTAATGGAGGCAGTGCACTTAATCAGGTAAGGAGGAACTTGAACACCAATTGTTAGAAAAATATTAACTGTTATTAAAATATTAAATAGTAATGAAATATAAAAAATGAGGGTATTATGATAAAACATAAGGGAAAGTTTAGTATTTTTCTTTAAAATTATTATTATCATCATCATTCTTGGTAAACTAGTTAAATCCATCACGAGCATGATCATGAGGTGTAGACAGTCACTTCCTCATAAAATCATTCACGCTAATAATTATACGGATTGAGAATTAATTGTACGCTAATAATTCAGGAGCCTTTAATTTTTATTGAAATAGAATTAATTGTGAAATTAATTAAAAATATAATATATATATTTTTTTTTTTTCACAATGGGGAACACAATTATGATGGCTTTCTCCTCTCCAACGCTAATTTGGAAGATGTCACACGCTAAAAGAGATGGAAGACAAACGTTGCCTGATTGAGTTGGCAAATAGATAGCAATAGACAAGAATTAATTAGTATGACCAATCTGGAAGATAGGAGGGTCGGGATGGACCACTAATCCACCACTAGTATAATTGGCATCGTCACGTCTTAATCTCTTGCCCAGATGTTAGTTAGTGGAAAGGGAGATGGCTGCTGCCCACATGGAGATGTTCTTCCTTTGTATCATTAACCGGTGCATATTCTATGATAGAATGGTTGAGGTTGAGGTTGTGTTGGTAGGCAAAACAACAATGTGTTCTGCATGTAGTAGTGCCTGGCCAAAGACAACCTACCCATCCAGGAATTGACTCCCACTTTCTATGCCCTCCTCATTTTCATTACTTCTATCTCATAAATCTGTCAGGTCTCTCTTACCCTCAGAGACACATTTTGAAGTTCACATGCTAGAGGGCCCGATGCCTATATCTCGGTCGAACAAACTCGCTCCCGAGCGGAGCAATGATAAAGCTATTTAGTCCTACATTGGTTAAGGAGTATAAGAACTAAGGGTTCATTAGTCCGTCAGATCTCTCTTATTATCAAAAGTATTTTTTAAAGTTCACATGAAATGATACATTGACTTTTAAAATTATATTATAATCAAAACTTACAAATAAAATCATGATTTTTAAATTAAAAAAATAAAAGAAAAATCGTGATTAGGACCAGATATAATGAAAATAATTCACCACAAACCAAAAAAAAATTTAAGACAATAACTGGATGAGCCAACACAACATCAATCTATTTCTCGAGTTGTCCTGGATGTGGAGATTAGATTCCCTGCCGTGCTGGTGCCACTACGGCACATCACCACCTCCCAATCAAATTGGTCCGACCCCGAACCGATGCCCGCACCGAAAGTTCCGCGTCTGTGCATGCACGTGTACCGTTTGGTTTAATGCTCCAAAGACGCCCGAGCGCGCGGCACGCACCCGCTAGCGATATGGGGATGTGACTACATCGCCCGCTGTTGGCCACTGACAGCGAGACGTTGAAGGTTGATCTACCCTTCGCTACATCCTTTGTAGATTATTCGAAGGTTTAATCCAGTATATGAAATATGATTTGAATTCCTATGCTCCCTGTTAAAGATCGATAGATGGACAGAACGTACTGCAGCAGCAAGACGAGCAACGACGATGCTTCCAACAACGTATCAACGCGATGATTCGTACCCCGCCGGACGAACGTCTCTTCTCCTAACCATTTACCCTTTTGCGTGAAAGGCCCCTCGTACCAACATGTCATGGAGCTAATGGACAGCCGGCTATTTGGCTTTGCGACATCGACGACAGGACACCGGCATTTTTGTCAGCGTTATCTATCTAATGCGGTTGTTCGTGGCAGGGATCCATGGGTGGAACACATGCATGCAGTCACACAACGTCAATCAGCATGTACGACCCTCTCCCCCCCCTCTCTCTCTCTCTCTCTCTCTCGCTCCCCTCCAATGGCGGAGTGGAGGCACCTCATGAGAGGATGGCGTCGGTTGGTACAGAAAACCCCATCGGCGTCGTAGTGTGGCTTGGGACGAAGCCCGCTGTTTCCGGCATATCCTTCTTGACATAACAGAAAGTCGCCTATATGTATCTTTTCAAAATGATTGACTATCATTACACTGATATTTTTATATTATTATTATAAAAATCAAAATATATTATTATTATAAAAGAATAATATCAGAAATATGATATGTATCTTTTTCATGTTATTAAAAAAAATCTTTATTTGATATCTTAATAATTGATACACATGTCAAAGAATATTTGTAACATCTTAATAATATTAAGTATCGATGTATTCTTATTTAATTTCTTTGATGGAGAATATCTTTCATTATCTCCTAAAAAATTTTATAATAATTATTTTTTTTTATTGACCGATAATTATAATCAGAATTCAATCATATTTATAATATATTTTATCTAAATAGACCGGATCATATATTATAATATAGAAAACTTCATTCATATCATAATTTGAATAGGGACAATGCTATTCAAACTATATACATATCTTTCCAAAATGATTCAAACAACCATCATTGCACCAACATTTTTTTGGTATGGCAAGCATCAATTTTTTATATTTATTTATAAAGAGATAGATGTCTCTATTTTAGTTTACTCGACCAGGACGATCTGTTTCTTATGTTTTGGCTGCTGATCCGTTGCATGGAAGATTTCAAAACCTTATCGATCGGTTGGCTAAGTTTGCAGGCGTTTGGATTGGGTTTCAATTCAATTCTTCGTTCAGTGTTATTGCAATGGTTACATCGTATATATCGACCGATACAACATTAGCAGCAGGTGTTTATGCGTAAAGTAAAGTGAGAGACATATGATGTGAGGATAAAAGTAATAATATAGGACACATGATGACAAGTAGGAACTTCAACTGGAAATGATGCAAATCATCATGTCATCCAAAAGTATTCTTCAGATGTCCACATTTGCTATGGCTTCATCCCACTCCAACAGTAGTGAGGTATATATATATATGGGGTGATGTATTCGAATGGGAGAACTATGTTGAGGCCATTCAAAACAAATAATTGTTTGTGAATTTACTCACAAAGATAAATAATAACTTATTAGATGAGTTGAAGTATAAAAGAATTAAAATCTAATTACTAAAGTAAACTTTGCCGTTAGAAACACATCCATCCCAAATGGATAAAATTACATGGAATCCAACTATTCTATAGGGGTAAAATTGTGTGGAGTCTGCACACAGCCCACAATTTCAAGTCAATTAATTTGGTTTGCTCTGATGTGAATGGTTAGTAAACATTGATTTTAGCTTAGAAAAATGCTACATTAAATTGAAATCATCCATACGAATAATCAGAAATAATAAACTAAACATCTAAATGAATGCGTGATTTATCTGTCGGCGTGTCAGCCTCCCCACCCACAGCTTGCTCGGATCACGACCGCGTCCACGCACCGACGATGTGATCACGGAGGACGTCCGCCATGCGCGTGTAAACTGCTCGACTGTTGGTCGCTTTGACTTGGGGCCAATCCCCTCGCGACACCCGTAGATGCTGCAGCTACTCGTCAAACCTACAACATCACCCCCACACATCAATTAATAGATTTCAACGACGGAGAATGGCCGGTGCATTGACGCATTCCAAAGCTTAAAGATGGAGAAGAACCGTCCAGCCACCGCCTTGACTTCCCGTAAATTGCTAAAGGTCAAACAAAATGATCCCCGAAACATTTCCAAGTCAAACCATGCGTGGTTTCTTCTATTTGCTATTCTCGAGTCAAATCCTGGGAAGCAAAAGCAAGCTCCTTTGCTTTGGTCATTAACCTCATGTTGACGTTCGAGTACCAGTCATCTTCCACGGATTCATACAGCTCCCTTCTCATGTTTCCTTGCGGAACACTTTGTTGCCTAACTCGAAACACACAGCTAGCTGTGCGATCGACACGTCCAACTTTGTCTTCTCCTACTTTACTCCATCTAAATGCCGAACGACTAATGGAAGGAAGGTTGGTATGAATCAGTTGTGTCTCCAGCCCTCGTCAACATCCAAGTGAGAACAACATGTAATCTGTCCTCCTAAAAGTCCTTTGCTCGGCCGACTTTACCATCGAGTTCGTCGTCCGTCAGACTCTTCTTCACGTCATGCGTCATCCCCATCGAAGTTAGGTGCTCGTTACAGTTCCATGATGGAACAAACTGGTGAGGCGGCAGGCCGTGGAACAAAGCTTAGGCTGACCATTTCCTGTCACGGATCAAGCAACATCGAGAACTCAACTACCGCGCGTCTAATTAGTACAAGTGCGAGCATTACGGCTTTGCATGTCGCCTTCATCGACTCGTCGATCCTGCTGCATTGATATGAACAACCTGAAAATGAACTCTCTGCCTTGCAAATGAAGCAGCTCCGATGACCGCGTCATGCAAACTTGATTAGCACGCCGAATACCTACGAACAGCAGAATAATTAGTATGGTCTCATCATCATCATCATCATCATCATCCTATGCTGTCGAAGCCCGCAGAAGATGATCTCGATGCTTATTAATTATTATTATGCTTTGTGGTTCTCTCAGCTGAGACGTGGTTCGTTTCAGTCACCACATACATTACCAATTAATGTGGATCCTATCGATCTCCAGATCAGTCTTAGGGTGTTTAAGCGATTACGGATGGATGCAACTCGTGCGTACTTCAGTCCTATAAATCGTGATCATCAAGTACGTAAATGATTCCATCTGCTTCGTATTTACATTTTTTTTATAGGAGAAAGCTAATCTCCAACTTTGTCGTGGAGCATCATGACCTTCTCTTGTCAGCATCACCATCTCCTTCTGACGACCGGACTTTATATCATATATCTTTTGCCGACTGCTTTATCGAACAGTTGCGTTGACCAATTGGTTCCGATTTGACAATTCTACGCTACCATAGAACAAGGGGTTTATTTACAAGGCATTAAAGAAGACATATATGCAACCCATAAACCATACTAATACATAAAACGAAGTGCAACATCAATTATGTTTGATATTAGCCTTGGCGAAGTATGCATCCCCACACTCGTACACAGCTGCCGGTCGTCCATGGCGGATGAAAGCAACGCGACTAACCAGTCAATTCGTTAGGCAGGTTTTTATGTGAACACATGACTTTCTAGAGCTCCATAATTCAAACTCGAGTTTCATGGTTGATTCATTCGAGCGAGAACCGAATCAAAATCGAATCCAGTTTAAATTTCTTAAAATTGAAATCGAACCTTTTATTCTGGTTTTTAGCTTCTTTTGCCCTTGAAAAGGGAGGGCGGTGCTGCTGCATTGGTCTCCAAATTAGTAGCTGCTTTCCTTCCTCCTCCTCCTCCTCCGCCTCCTCTCTTCTTTGTTATATACACATAGATACATAGAAGACAGGTAGAACACGCGATCTCCCTTCTTTTCTTACTTTGTTTCTTCTTCTGTACTGCTCAGATTAATAATGTAAGAGCGTAGAGAAAAAAGTAGTGTGGCGATTAAGACAGTCCCTTTCATTTTTGTGAGGATAGCACAGAACTTCCATCTCTTTCCTTCCAGTAAGGGACGAAAGGATCCCAATAAACCTCAAGTTCTAAAGTCAACGTTAGCGACGAACTATTCCTCCAACGAAGAGCTCGTTGTCTTATTTTGTTTGATCCACTGTTGCTGCTTTCACATACCTACGCAACAGCTAATAAGTTCGATACACGTGGCTTCCTATTCCCTTAGCTTTGGAATCATGTGGGTTATTATGCCCTTTATAAACCCACCCAAATTGTTGTCCTCCCATCGGTTATTTGATATCCATCAATTAATTATTATTATTATGACGTCGGAATCCCATCCGAGCGTCGGAGGACGGTGTGGCGAATTGGGCTGCGTTACATGCGTTTAGGTGTTTGACCACACGTGTGGCGGATGTGGGTCAACACGGATCTCCGTTCAAATTGAAGGAATCGCACGAAGGAAAAAACCATTCGCACGTGGAGCAGTGGGGGCGCCCTATTCATTCGGACCCCACCAAGTTCGCATGCCCTCATTCTTTCACCATATGACAGTGGTCTCCCCCATTAACTCAGTGGGTGAGAGGCGACGTGGCCACCATCACACGCTCCCAAAGCTACTTTGTTATGTATACTTTTTCCTCTTTTTCTTGGCCACGTCAGCACGGTGTGAACAACGAGTTACTTGTGCGGAACACCAGCAATGATTGATTACTGCTTACGTGGAATATTCAGGAATATCTGGCAATTTCACCCAATTGGCATCAGATCGAATCCGTTTGGGTTCGGTTCGAAATCATTCTATCTACTCGATTCAATTTTGATTTTGGACCGGTTCAATTTCGGTTCAAGCCGTGGGGGTCAAATACGTAGATGAAATCCGATCTATCTGATTTTTTTGGGAGGTAAATAAATAAGCTAAGATTTTTCCGAGCTAAATAAATCATAGTATCCTTTTACACTTGGGATAATGGAAACCCATACGATTTCTACATGTTCTGTTTTGTGTTCCGTCATGCTTACGGGACTGGATTGGTATTTTAGGATTTGTGGTGGGCATCGGCGGTCCTTTGAAACGGACGTCGTTGCCGCGAAGCTGCCATTTGGCCCTTATTTATCGCGAGGGAGAAAGCGTGTCCGTGTGCAATGCCCATTTTACCCACTCGCCAGCCCCTATATAGGACTTGCCCCACCTTCCCCTGTTCGACCAAGGAGAGTCACCAAAGAAGGGGAGGAATTCAAGCGGACGGGAAACCAAGTCTTGCGCTTCTGCCCAAAAATCTACTGTTTCCGTCGGGAAGTTGAGATTTTGGGAAGGGGACGATATTGGATGGCTGCCTCTCTGGAGATCTTTGGCTCTTCATTGCTCCCAAGGACCTGTCTCCTTTCTTCTTCCAGCTCGCCGCTGTTTGGAGGAGGCGAGCAGAGGAATCTTTTCTTCCCTTGCAAGCAGAGGAGGAGCTGCACGGCAGGGCGAGCGGGGCGGACTCCGGTGGCCGCCGTGGTGCTGACCGAGAGGTTCGCGAGGGTTGAGGCGGAAGAGAAGCCCGTGAGGTTTAAGGTCAGGGCGGCGGTGACGGTGAGGAGAAAGAAGAAGGAGGATCTAAAGGAGACGATCGCGAACCAGCTCGATGCTTTCTCCGACAAGATTGGGAGGAACGTGGTGTTGGAGCTCGTCAGCACCGAGTTCGATCCAAGTAGGCTGACTCCCTCTTCCTCCCGTTTCTGCCGGTTTGGATGAATTGTTTCTCTTCATCTTATAGCTAATATTTGGTGCTAAAGGAACGAGGAAGGCGAAGACCAGTAACATGGCGGAGCTGAAGGGCTGGTTCGAGAAGAAGAACGCCAAGGCCGAGCGGGTGGTCTACACGGCGGAGTTCACGGTGGACTCCAGCTTCGGCGAGCCCGGAGCGATCAAGGTGCTCAACCGGCACCAGAGGGAGTTCTTCCTGGAGAGCATCGTGGTCGAAGGCTTCGCCTGCGGCCCCGTCCACTTCCCTTGCAATTCTTGGGTGCAGCCTACCAGAATCCACGCCAGCAAGCGGGTCTTCTTCAGCAACAAGGTCCTCTATCCATCCTCCAACGCAGAACTTGGACGCACAGAATTCGGATCACTAACAATCATCATCTTTTGCTGTCGGTGCAGCCTTATCTGCCATCTCAGACGCCCTCAGGACTGAGGAACCTGAGGCAGCAGGAGCTGAAGGAGTTGAGGGGCGACGGCAAGGGCCAGAGGAAGCTGACCGACAGAATCTACGATTACGACGTTTACAATGACTTGGGCAACCCCGACAAGGGGATCGAATTCGCCAGGCCAACCCTGGGAGGGGAGAAGCTGCCTTACCCAAGGAGAACGAGGACAGGGAGAGCCCCCACGAGCACAGGTATGAGACGCAGTCAGTCTGCAACCTCTCGGTCGTAACTCGCTGTCCAAAGTTGAATCATTCATAGTCTTTCGATTAGGAATTCAGCACTGCATTCATTAAGAAAAAGCTCAGAGTTTGATTTAGTCAACAACAAGAAATGCAATCGCAGACATGGTTGAGTTAGTCAAAGGCAAGCTTGGCCGTCACCTCTCCTTTCTCTGTGTCGGTGAAAAGGGCGGCCTCGAGAGGCTAATCTTGGTTGGCGCTTCTGACTCCGTGACGTGCTTTGCAGACAAGGATGCTGAGACGCGGGTGGAAGATCCACAGCCCGTGTACGTGCCGCGGGACGACCAATTCGAGGAGGGCAAGCAGGAGATGCTGACGGCAGGGGCTCAAAAGGCCGTGCTCCACAACCTGGTGCCCATGCTTGTCGCCGCCTTCTCCCCGGAGAGCCACGACTTCAAGGCCTTCCACGAGGTGGACAACCTCTTCAAGGAAGGCCTGCGCTTGAAGCAGAGCTTGCAAGATCAGCTCTTCCACAAGATCCCCCTCGTCAGCAAGATTGAAGAGTCGAGCGAAGCCCTCCTCCGTTACGACACCCCCGACATCATCACAAGTGAGCACTAGTCCTTTTGTATCCTCCTCGTTCTACTTGTAGCATCAATGCCTTTTGACCCTCGCCTCTCTCATTGGCACGCATCCGGCAGAGGACAAGTTCGCATGGCTGCGCGACGACGAGTTCGCCCGTCAAACTCTGGCAGGCATCAATCCCGTTAACATAGAAAGGCTTCAGGTACTCGAATCCTCCCTCGAAGAAATCCTACCCGAATCACCTCTGCTTTTTTCTAATGGTGCTTCGACCGCTGTAGGTGTTCCCTCCCGTGAGTAAGTTAGACCCCGCCATCTATGGTCCGCCTGAATCCTCCATCAAAGAAGAACACATCGTCAGCCATCTCAATGGCATGTCTGTTCAACAGGTAACTCACAAAGATTTCATCTTTCTTGACTTTGGGTACCGAAATTGACATGCGACTTGCTATGTAACATCTGCAAACAGGCCTTGGACGAGAAGAAGCTGTTCGTGTTGGACTACCATGATGTGTACCTCCCCTTCCTCGATCGGATCAATGCGCACGACGGGCGAAAAGCCTACGGCACTCGCACCATCTTTTTCCTCACCGAGCTGGGAACTCTTAAGCCGATCGCCATCGAGCTGAGTCTGCCGCCCGTGAGACCCGGCGACACTCGGGCAAAGCGCGTCTTCACGCCGCCCACCGATGCCACCAGCAATTGGCTTTGGCAGCTCGCCAAGGCGCACGTCTGCTCCAACGACGCCGGCGTCCACCAACTCGTAAACCATTGGTATGTGCGCTTGCGGTTGATCCGATTGATGTATGGATACCCCGAGGACAGGGAGTAACATATGATCATGGCGGCGTTGCTTGTAGGTTGAAGACTCACGCGTGCATCGAGCCGTTTATACTGGCAGCTCATCGGCAACTAAGTGCGATGCACCCCATCTTCAAGCTGCTGAAGCCCCACATGAGATACACGCTAGAGGTGAATGCTATGGCTCGCCAAATCCTCATCAACGGCGGCGGAGTGATCGAGTCCGGCTTCACTCCTGGACCTGTTTGCATGGAGATCAGCGCGGCCGCGTACCGCGATCACTGGCGCATCGATCAGGAAGGACTCCCTGCCGATCTCATCAGAAGGCAAGTATCACGTCGAAGGTGATGCATGACTTTGGGATGTGATGAAACATCGAGCTAACGAGTGTTGGTCTTCCGGTGTCTTCTGATCGTGAACAGAGGCATGGCGGTGGAGGACCCGACGCAGCCGCATGGCCTGAGGCTCGTCATAGAAGACTACCCGTACGCCACCGATGGCCTCCTCCTGTGGTCGGCGATCCAGTCGTGGGTCGAGACCTACGTCGCCACCTACTACGCCGACGCCGAGTCCGTCCAGTCCGACTACGAGCTCCAGAGCTGGTACGCCGAGGCTGTCAACGTCGGCCACGCCGACAAGCGGTGTGCGCCGTGGTGGCCGCGCCTGTCGAGTCCTGCCGAGTTGAGCTCCTTCCTCACCACCCTCATCTGGCTCAGCTCGGCCCAGCACGCGGCCCTCAACTTCGGCCAGTACCCCCTCGGCGGTTACATACCGAACCGGCCGCCGCTGATGCGCCGGCTCGTCCCGGTGGAAGGCGACCCGGAGTACGAGCACTTCCGGGCTGACCCGGCCAAGTACTTCTTGTCCGCGCTGCCGAGCCTGACTCAGGCGACCACGTTCCTGACGGTGATCGACACCCTGTCGACGCACTCGGTGGACGAGGAGTACCTGGGGGAGAGACCGGACCCATACACGTGGACGGGGGACGGCGAGATGGTGGAGGCGTTCCACGAGTTCGCGGCGGAGGTGAGGCGGGCCGAGTCGGAGATCGCGAGTCGGAACGCGGACCCGGCGAGGCGGAACCGGTGCGGCGCCGGGGTGTTGCCGTACGAGTTGATGGCTCCGAGTTCGGGACCGGGAATCACGTGCCGAGGGGTGCCCAACAGCGTGACCATCTGACCACTCACGTGGTGGTGCATTTTTTATTGGACATCAATACATACATACATACGTACATAAGAGAGGCATTCTTTTATCAATGGCTGTGGGCGCATCACAAGACGAGTAATGTGTGTAAATAAATAGATGATATACATAATAATTGTTGGATGGAACTCTTTTGAAGGAGAATAAATAAATTAAGCGATACATTTTTATTCTGTGCTACTCTTGAAATTGTTTTTTTTTGTGGAACC